CAGACCCTGGGGGCATCAATAGCAAAGGCCCTTCCTCCGGTTTTTGTACGGCAATAAGGAATGTGAAGCTGGCAGATGAGCGAAGACTTGAGGTCAAATTTGTTCTTTGAAACAGAGAGGAGATCCAGCAGGTAGTCTGCGGATTTTTTTTGTAAGTACATCGTGAATAAATAAGATCTGGCGCACAAGCCGTCGAACATTAAGAGATGTTAAGTTAGACCCAATGTAGAGATCACAGTGGTGAGTCCTATATGGGCAGTTCAAGGCAAATCTTAAGGCCGAGTGATAGATGGAATCAAGCTTTTTCAGTACAGTACTTGGGGCTGATTTATACACGATAGCACAGTAATCAAGTAGAGGCAGTAGGGTAGCTTTTATCAATTCCAAACGGAACATTGGGGGGAAGCAATGCTTGTGTCGATACAGACAACCAATTTGTATTTGTCTTTTTACCAATATAATCAATGTGATCTTCAAAATAAAGTTTTGAATCCAGAATGACCCCAAGATACTTATAGATCTTAAATTGCTCTATTTGAAAATTATTCAAGGAATGTAATGGGGGGAAAATAGCTTCCTGCTTTAGTCCCGGTGAGATGCATAGTACCTTGGTTTTGGAGGTATTCAAGACTAGTTTAAGAGAAACTAGCTGATGTTGTAGTTTGTTGAAATCACCCTGGAGCTTAGCAATCACGTCATCCGGAGAGCAGCCAGCAGTAATCAGTATCGTGTCATCTGCAAAAAGATTAACCCTGGAATGATCCAGGTCAGTGCCCAAGTCATTGACATAGAGAACAAGAGGGGGGTCGAGGATGGAACCCTGTGGAACCCCTTTTGTTATCTTAACACTGTTTGACCTCCAACCATCTGTGAACAGTTTGGGTGCGAGAAAAGAGGTAATTTTTTAACCATTGTACTGTGTTCTCGGAAAAACCGAGGCAACTTAGTTTGCTAAGCAGGGTGTTGTGGTCTACTGTATCAAAAGCTTTGGACAGGTCAAGAAAAAGACAGGCACAGTACTGCTATTATCAAGGCTATTGTAAATTTGATTCAAAGAGTCTAATGCAGCAGATGTGGTGCTATATTTTTTTTGGAACGCAGATTGTTTTAGATGTAGTAGATTGTTGGTGGACAGGAAACAATAATTTTTCAAAAATCTTCATCAATGGGGACAAAATTGAGATAGGTCGGTAGTTATTGGGATCATCTTTAGGGCCCCCTTTGTGAAGTGGACGGACATAGGAATGTTTCCATTCTAGAGGAACTGATGCTTCTTTGATGGACAGGTTGAAAATATGGGCTATAGGTTTGTATATTAGGTGACCAACAGTTAGTAGAGCAAAGGCGGGAAAACTATCTGCTCCGGTAGAGGAGGACCCTTTGAGGTAGGACAGTTGTTTCAGAACATTACTTTCGTGGATTGGTTGGAAACTAAATTCGTTTAATGTTTGGACAGGGGTGTAGGAATTTGCAGGAGCAGGGGTGACTCCCAATGCATTATCAAAAAGATTACCAGCTTCAGAAAAATGAAGGTTAAAATTGTCAACTATTTTTTGGGGATCTGAAAAATATTCCCCATTTCGGTTAAGCTCAACGGGCAGATTCTCTGTTTTGGATGCCTTTTCGATACATTTGATTGTTTTCCAGAAAATCCTGGCATTTCCATGTGATTCCAGGAGAGTGGAGGAAAAGTAGGCATTTTTTGCATGCCGTATTTTTTTTCCGCATCTATTCCTTAAAATCCTGTATTCTAGCCAGTCATTGACCAAATTACTTTTCTGAGCACATGCCCAAGCCTTGTCCCTAGTTTTCATGAGCTTTGTAATCAAAGGATCATACCATGGTGGGCGGTTGCCTTTTATATTAAATCTAACCAACGGAGCATATTTGTTAAGAATTTGGAGAAACGTGTACCTGAAGGTCTCCCAAGCCGTAGCCAGGTTGGGGATATCACAGA